AGCCCCCCTCACAAGACTGGTCAACCAAATAAATCTAACATGGAAATTAGCCAATCAGACACTGTCAGTTTAACTAGAAACCAATAAGACCCTGACTACATACTGTAAGATATGCTGTACTGCTTTCCCAGAGCTACAGGGCTCACTGCATCTGACTGCCTGCATTCAGCGAACAGTACGTATTCAGAACATGAGCACATAGAAAAGGTGAGAAACGCAAGGAGGTAATTCCATCCATCTGGTCTGTTTGGTCGTTAGCAGTTAATTGAGCTGAGGGTCTCATCCAGCCGTGTCTCGAAAGAAGCCAGGGTATCGGTTTCAACAACATGGCTGGGCAGTTTGTTGCATGAGTTTTAGTTAGTTTAGATGACCTTGGTCATATGAAATGAGCCCAATGTGATTTTGTAGTGCTGTCTGTGCAAGAGCCCATCATGATATCTATATCTATAGTATGTCATCTGCAATAGGTGCAAGCTTTCCTATATTGCTACAGAAACTGCACATGGCTCTGATGCTTGTGGCTTGTCAGAGAGAAGCTGGCATGACAGGTACGGCTATGCTGCTCAGATTATGCTGCAGCACAGATATCCCTTATGTCAAAGGGCCAGGCCTCCTGCCAAGGGGATGACATCACCTTCCACAGCAGGCTCAGTGCTGAATGAGCCATGTTGCATTCTCTCCTCTTTTACAAACTCCTTACCGTCCTCTGCAGTAAAAGGCAGGCATGTCACGTGGCCGTCTAACCACATGTGCAAGAGTGGCATCGGTGAGCCAAGCAGATTTGGTGATTACAAGCCTTACAAGAAATACTAACATTTTCTGACTGACAAGTACAATAACAACACAACCAATGAATTTAAGAGGCTTCTCTTCGAAGGCTGGGGGAGATTATCTGGCCATCTCCTCTCAGGGATCAGTGGAATAGGGGGTCTGCTCTCTCTGATAGACCTCAGTGAGTCACAATCTGGATGCACTGTTCAGTGGCACAGAGAGCAGAAAATATTGTGACAGCAACAGAAATTCAGTGGCATTGGAGAAACACTGTGTTACTGTCACACTCCCTCAAAGGAAGGTCATTACTGGCTATTGATCATACTCGTCGGAAACTGTTTTTCAATTACTCACACACTGACTGACTAATGGATTTACTGAATTATTGATTGTGTTGCTGCCTAAAATATTGAGTAAATGAGTAAAAAAAAGTACTAATAAATGCTGACAACAATACTGACACTAATAGAGATACTGACACCAATAATGATACTGTCACCTCCACTGACACTGATACTGATTACGATACTAATAATGTCTCCTCCAATCACACTGCTACTTATTACAATACTAATACAGTCACCTCTACTGACACTAAGAGAGATACTGACACCGATACTAATACTGGCACCTCCACTGACACTCATACTGATTACAGTACTGATACTGTCACCTCCACTGACACTGATACTTATTCAGTACTGATACTGTCACCTCCACTG